TTCTGATCACATGTATTTTTGTAATGTGACAAACTAAATAAATGTAATGTACTCAAACTAACTTTCAATGACCCAAGACATAAATTGATAAAAACTTCAAGACTCACAAAGTAGAAATTGTTCTGATGTTTTATATTTTCTTCTATTCTGGCCCTTAGGAAACTACATCATTATCCGATTGTGATGGTAAGGAATATATAATAGTGCACATTGCTAGTTTCATTGAATGCTGCATCGGACACATGTTTTGTGTGGTACAGTCTTCTTGATGATTTTTCATGACTGTTTTTTGTTTTTTTCTGTAAAGGAGACTTCCACACCACTGGACACTTAGACTGGTTCTTTGCTGGTTTTCCAAAGCTAGTGGACCGTGAGGCCCCCCATAGGATTTCTCGCTATCCCACGTCTTCCCACTGGAGCCTCTTTAATGACTTTCACCTTGTTCTTTCCATTCTAGGGCCATAGGTATTGATATGTATCAGTATTTTTTATTGAGGTAACTGGTATATATATATATATATATTTTTATCCTCACCCGAGGATATTTTTCCATTTTTTGTACAGATAGAGTGGGAGGGAGAGAGAGGAAGGGAGAGAGAGAGAGAGAAACATCGACGTGAAGGGACACATCGAGTGGTCGCCACCCACACGACCAACCAGGGCCGGGGACAAACTGAAACTGAGGTACATGCCCTTAGCGGGAACCGAACCCGGGTCTCTCCGGACCGCAGGCCGACGCTCTAACAGCTGAGCCAAACTGGCCAGGGCGAGGTAACTGGTTTATAAAATTCACGTGTACAACATTATAATTTGTTATCTGTATGCACTACAGCATGCTCACCACCAAGTCTAGTTCATTCAGGCTTCTTTACTCAGCTAATTACAAGTCTTTCCGTTTTCACCACATTGGGATCTAACCTTTGATATGGTCCCCGGGTCTTTGTTATGTAAATCATCTCAAATCCTGGTTTGGAACTTGGGGTGGTATGAAGAGAATGAAGGGAATGAATACACTTCCTGGGAGGACAAGGATTCTATTTACATGTGATACTGAGACGTGCTGGGTTTCTTTTGGATGGGAAAGTCTCTTAGTTACTTCTCTAGCCTCTCTGAGATTAGGTTTCCCTTCCGGTACTCCCCAAATCAATGCCCCTGCACCTATGCTGGTCAGTGCCAGCCCACAACAGGAACCTGGAGAACAAAGACCCAGTGTGCACCTGCTCCAGGAACAACCTGCACTGCGCAAGCGAGATGCCAGCAGCAGTCTGGGGAGCCATACTCCTTAATTGTGTGCTCCCTTGATGCATCAAGCTCCCTCCCTCTCCCTTTTCCTCTCACCCTGTATTTAGTAAACATCTTTTCTTCTGAATCTTCTTTGCTTCCTCTCCTGATCTTTATCCTGGGGGGGAGGAGGGGGGCAAGACCACCACCGCAGATGACAGTACAGCACTGATATGAATAGTGCCTTCCTGCTCATGACAACTGCATGCTTTAATAAATTAGGTGCTTGTCTAAACAACAAGGAATATAGTTTCAACCCAAGGCCTTGGAAAAAGGGTCTCTCCTTTATCTAGTTGCCTAGAGAGGAAATGGGTTCAGGATAAACACCTTTGAAGGAGGCACTACAGGAAAGCGGTTATAAGCACGGAAGATAAGGAGCAGCATGGATCTGGGTTTGAGGCCCAGTTTTGTTCTTACTGGATGTGAGACTTTGGACAAGTTATCTTCTATGAACCATAGTTTTTACATCCTGACCTTCTTTAGAGGGTTGTTTCAAGATCAAATAAGACCCAATATATAATGAGTGTTCAGGAAAAAGTACTGCTTTTTTGTGTTGTTTTTTTTTTTTGCATTTATCTTCAGATAGAGTGGGAGGGAGGGGGAAGAGAGAAAGAGAGAGAAACATCGACACGAGAGAGACACACCGACTGGCTGCCACCCACATGACCCCAACCAGGGCATGGGACAATTTTTTTAATAGTAATTTCAAAGCCTGGAATACAAGATCATGGTGAACCTCATGTGGTCAGTCATAAGACACAAAACAAAACAATTCAAGTGATCAGAGTTTTTCCACTGAGGCTGGTTTTTTACTTCTCCCAATGTGACTTCAGAATCAGGAAGGAAACCAGGCCTCTAACTATGGATACAGCCTGCAGCTAAGTGAGTTTAAATGAGTGAATGACTGGAATATATCCCTGGGTAATTTTTCTGTAACTTACTTTCTCTTCTGTTGAATATTGATTCATGGAAAACTAATGGTTTTGGGAAACCCTCTAGATAGAGACTGTGTTTATAGCCATGATTATGTTGTTCTAGGAACATGAAAGTGCTCGTAGCACAGTAACTCATATCCCATGTCCTGCTTACAGTGGTATTTACTCACTGATGAAATGTTTCTGTGTTCATGTCACAAAGACCTTCAGGAGTGTGAAAGCCATTTTCATTGAGGTCTAATGTGAAGTGACCTGGCACATTGGCAGGACATAATGCAGGTGGGCTCTATTTTGGAGAAGACCATTCGCCCACTAATTTGCAGGTTGGTCTAAACCTTCCTAATGCCATGACCGTTTAATACAGTTCATGTTGTGGTGACTCCCAACCATAAATTATTTTCGTTGCTGTATTTTCATAACTGTAATTTTGCTACTGTTATGTCGTAGGCGACCCCTGTGAAAGGGTCGTTTGACCCCCAAAGAGGTTACAACCCACAGATTGAGAACTCCTGGAAAGAATCAAAGGGAGCCCTGGCCAGTTTGGCTCAGCAGTTAGAGTGTCGGCCTGTGGACCAGAGAGTCCTGAGTTTGGTTCCCGCTAAGGGCTCGGTTGCAGTTTGTCCCCGGCCGCGGTTGGGGTCGTGTGGGTGGCAACCACTCGATGTGTCTCTCTCATGTCAATGTTTCTCTCTCTTTCTTCCTCTCTCTCTCCCTCCCACTCTATCTGAAGATAAATGCAAAAATGTCCTTGGGTGAGGATTTAAAAAAAAAAGAATTAAAGGTAAACGATTCAGTCAGAACCCCGGGGACTCGTCTGCTTCCAAGTGAGGCTTCAGCAGGAATGGTCACTGCTCCCTGGCTGCATATTGAGTCAGGCTTGCCCCATCACAAAAGCATATGCTAGAGAAAAAGCATTAATTACTAACCCAGAGAAAACATTCATTCTCCTTAAGGATCTGGAAATAATAGTACTTATTCCAAAGCAAGGACAGTAAAAAATATTTAATAGTAGGCTAAGTTCCTTTAAGAATTAATATTCTGGTATAAAGTGCAATACTAGCCACACACACAATGCTTGACACACAATAGACATTGAATTACAATGAACTGAGTGAATGGAAGAAGGAAGGAAAGAAGGAAGGAAAAAAGGAAGGAAGGAGGGAAGGAAGGGACGGAGGGGAGAAGAGAGGGAAGGAGAAGGAAAGGAGAGAAGAAAGAAATAATCAGAAAACTAGGACTTAATACATTGGCTATGATTCATAGCTTGAATGACCCTGAGCAAGTCTCTTAACCTGAGCCTCAGTTCCTCATCTGATCAACAGAAGCAATGTCCACCTTACTGGTTTCTTGTAAAAAACAAATGAAATAACATAGAGAGATGTGTAATTAAAAGCACCTGACAGTCATAAGACCTGGATTATAGATCAGGCTCAATACAATATAATTCATCAAATGTTTACTGAGCACTTATTCTTTGCCTGGCATTGTATCCCCAGGTGCTGAAATTGGATAAGAGATAAATAAAACAATCTCACTTGTCCTTAGATAGGGCAACTAGGATGGAGGCAGACCCAGGTTCTGGATCGTAGCATTTCTATATTTTACATATATTCATAATATGTCCCTCAAACTCCACTCTGGTTGAATTGCTCCAGTCCTTGCCCCAAGAAACCCATATTCTATTGGGAAAGACAAACTTGCATAAAGCAACATGCTAAATGCAGCAATGGTGGAACATAGAATGTTGTATAGAGGGAATAAGAAGGGCAGGTGAACTGTGGTGGGGGAATTGGGTAAAGGGTCCCGAAGGGATGATATCTGGCTGAATTATGGAAAATAAACGAGTTCCTACAGAAAGAAAAAGCAGAGAAAGGGCATTTCAAATAACAGGAAGCATCACACATGAAGCCAAATAAACAGGAAATTGCTAGTTCCAGGTTCTGCCATTAACTGACTTTATTTAACCTTTATGGAATTTCCTCAAGTCCCTCTGGAATTCCTATTTTCTCAGCTTAGAAAATTAACGTTGGGGGTGGAAAGATTTTCTGTAAGGTGCTTTCTAACTGGATACCTCCATGCTGGAGCAGAGAGAAAAGGGCTAGCTTTGGAAATGTTATTTTTAGGGCATGAGCCAGAAACCCCATCTTTTGTGACAAGATGACAGGCAGAGCCTGTAGTAATCCAGAAAATTTTGCCCACTTCACCAGTATCTGTGGCATTGTCTGAGCCAGGCCCTATGCTATTAAGGAAGCCATGGTCCAGTAGGGGGAGATGTGTAAATAACTAATACAGGAATCCCACGGACACCGTGCTGGTCTACACTTGGCAGATGGGGGCTGAGGGCAGTAAAATAGAAGTCCCTGGGACATGTAAGTCACATTGTCACATTCAGGGTGACAGGATTTAGTTCTTAGCAAAAAGGAATTTCCTGTCTCCTCATCCTACTTCACCTTCTCCAAGAGGTCTCCATCATTTTCAGCTGCCAATTGTCCCTTGGCAGGGCGATGCGTCGCCCTCTTCACCTACAGCCTTTCACAGGCCTGTGTAAGGGGCTCCGGGCACGAGGAGCGCATGCAGTTCCCAGGCTGACCAGAGGGTGCCTGTTCCCGAAACAGCTTCGCTCACGCCCGAGCGCCCACTGCAGGGCCGCCCTGTGTCTCCGGGAAGGGGCGGCCGGGAAAGCGGGCTGTCCAGGGCCTCCAGGAGTTGGGCTCCCAGCCAGGGGGCGGGACTCAGGCTACTGGTATAAGAGAGGAGCGCCACTGCCCTGGCCACAGTGCTGAAGCTGGACCTGGAAGCAACGGACACTGAACTCGCAACTCTTGACCCGGAGTGACTGAGGAAAAGGTCTGATTTCTCTTTTGCTTATTAGTACCAATGAATGGAAGGCGAGGCGGGTTTGTGAGTGCGCGAGAGGTCGGTTCAGACTGGCCTGGGTGGTAGGCGCAACGGTACCCTCAGAGGGCCCGGGGAAGGGGTTCCAGCCATATCTCCAGGGGTACCAAGTGCGCAAAGTCAGCAGTTTATCTCTCCTGCAGGGGCGCTTCTTCCTGCCACTCCCAGCCACAGACTCCGAAAATGCGGCTCCTGGGAAAACTCCGCACCTCCGCCGTGGGCAGCGCAGCTCCGGAGCCAGCCTTCTCCAACGTGCTCACTCCGGGACGCATCCCCGAGTTCTGCATCCCGCCGCGGCTGCCCGCACCCTGCGCGCCCGATTCCCCGCCCCCGGCCGCCGCTGTGCCTCGGCGGTGCGCTGCCGAGCCCGACCTGTGGCCCCGAGGAGCTAACGACGGCGCTGGGCACACGGACTGGGACCCGCGCTCGCAGGCCGCGCTCTCGCTGCCCCACTTGCCCCGCGCGCGCACCGCCTACGGCTTCTGCGCGCTGCTCGAGAGCCCGCACACCCGTCGAAAGGAGTCGCTCTTCCTCGGGGACCCCGGAGCCGCCACGCTCCTGCTGCCGCCCGCCGCCCGGTCCGCGCTCCGCGCTCGAGCCCACACCTACAGCGGCAGCGGAGGAGGAGACGCCCCACTCGGGGTCCCTGGCGGAGCCCCTGCCCCCGCGAACCCCGAAGACACCCTCCCGCCCCGGAACTCGCTCTCCCTGCGGCCCCGCGGCCACCGCCTCCTGCGCGGCCCCGAAGGGCTGCTGAGCCGCGCGCTAAGGGCCCGGAGGAGCCGTGGCCTGGCCCGCGCCCGCTCTGTGTCCAGCGGGGACGAGGGCGAGGAAAGCAGCGCAGGCTCGGAGGAGACCCTCTCCGCGTCCCCTCCGTCGTCCCCCGGCCCGCGGCCTGAGCTCCTGGAAGCCGAGGGCACCGTGACTCTGGGTCGCGCCGGCGGCGCCCTGCGCCTGGCGGCAGAGTACAGCCCGGCCAGCGGGCGCCTCCGCATCCGGCTGCTCCGCCCCGAGGGCCCGGCCGGAGGAGCCGCCGAGCCCCGCGCCGTCGGCTGCCGCGTCAGCCTGGTCCTGCAGCCTCCGGGCAAGACGCGCCAGCAGCGCAGCGCCGTGCTCCGGCGGAGCCGCAAGGCCGCCTTCGACCAGGACTTCTGCTTCGACGGGCTCTCGGAGGATGAGGTGCGCCGCCTGGCCGTGCGCGTCAAGGCCGAGAACAAGGGCCTTGGCTGGGAGCGGGGCCGCCTGCTGGGCCAGGGAGAGCTGCTGCTGGGCTCCCTCCTGCTGCTCTGAGGGCGCAGGCCCCAGGCTCTGCCCGCTGGGGACTCTCGGACACTGACAGTGTTTTGTACAAAATAAATGTTATTTATTCATTTTTTTCTATTTATGATCTTGTTTTTATTGATATTTTATTTCTTAGATGTCTGCTTTTGTCACTGTTTGATAGGGAAGTAAAAAATGATGATGCTGTCCTCTATTCACAACATCCAACCCCCTCTTCCAGACTGGAAGAGAGAGAAAGGAATGACACCCCATCTGCATTGCTTTTTCTCCCTGCTTTATATGAATACCAAATGATTTATGGGTTTAAAAATAAAAGTTATTCCATCAGGATCATGCCCAACGCTAAGATTCGTATGCAGTTTTACACATTTGTTCATTCGTGCACACACGCACCAGAGCCACAGACCTATAATAAGGAAACCTTTCCCATTAAGAAAGAATAGGATTCTTTTGAAAGTGAATCTTCAAAAATTGCTGAGGAAAAGGAAAACGAAGTGAAGGATCTTATGATGGATGGTCATGCAGGGAATAGATATTCCTGGCATACCCCTGTTCCTTCTCCAGGAGCGCTGGGAAGTCTTGCTATTTCAGAACAGAAATCTTTCTTGCTTCTGTAAGCAAGTTGATATTTTTGTGGCGTTATTTCCACCTAGCTATGTATCTAAATTACATAGTAATTAATGGCTTTGCCATAGCATTTCCCAGATGAAATGTAAACATCTGTTTTTTTGAACACTGAGTTCTAAGAGTGTTTTTAATTCAATTTATTTTCATTTGTTGATTCTACAAATAGACCCGAGTCCACTAGAACCTGATTATACCCAAGAGGGTTTGCCCTTGACTATAGGCATCTATGTATGGTGTGGTAGAAAGCACAATGGGTGGATTTTAAACATAATTTCTAAATGGACAAATTAGCTCTTAGAAAGCTAATCAAATGACTTCTGAATTTTAGAAAATACCACCGAGGTGACTTGTCTGAAGCCATATAGCTAGTGACTGGCTGAGCTCAGGCAAGAACCAGTCGTCCTGACTTCTCCAGAGGACTAGCCTACCCTTGTTCTCTCATTTAACAGCTATTTGTTGAGCCCTTACTCTGTGACAGGCACGGTACTAAGCCCAGGAGATGCATCTATGAACAAGACAGACAAGGTCCCTGTTTTCCTGGGACATCATTTTAGTAGGGATAGCCAAACAATAGCCAAGTTTTGTTATTACGGATTGTGGTGACTAGCATGAAGACAATAAACTAAGGAGGGTGACAGAGACTCTCTGGGCAGAGGAAGTGGCAGGTTGGATGCTCTTAGAGATCAGAAAGGTCTCCCTAAGACCTGAGGAAGGCACTTAATCTATCCAAACAACCGCTTAATGTGTCCAGGTGACCCCTTAATACACCTAAACAAGAATTCTTGGTTTTCTCCTCCCAAATCTCCTCCTCCCTTAGTCTTCTTTATTTTTGTAAATGGCACCACCATTCTCCCTTTCATGAAAACCAAGAACCTGTAATTGTCCTTAATTTTTCTTGCACATTCCAGTTTTTCAGGTGTAAATGTTACCTCCTTGGAGCATTCTCCCCTGGCCATCCTATCTGAAAACAGCACCATTGTCACTATCAAGCCTTTATTCTTCACAGCGCTTATCACTACCTGACATTCTATTATACACTTTTGTTGTTGTTTTTTTATTTATTTATTTTCTCTTCCACTAGAATGTGTGCTTTATAAAAGTAGGAAGTTTGTTTATTTCTAGTGCCTAAAACAGTCTGGCATATAGTCAACACTCAGTAAATATTGAGTATAAGAAGAGATGAAATAAATAAAGAGTAGAGAACCTAACACCAAGCCTTGAGACAAACTAACATTTAGAAATTCAACAGTGGAGGAAAAGTCAGTGTAGAAGAAGCAGCAGCAGCAGTGAGGCAAGGGAAAGACCAGGGGAGTATGGAGTCATGGAAGCCAAGATGAAGTATTCCAAGAAGGAGAGGGTGTTCAATCCATTTAAATCCTTCAGGGAAGATGAGAACACTGGTATTGGCAAGGTGAAGGTCGGCAGTGAAGTTGTCAAGAGCAGTTCTATGAGAGTAGTGGCAACAGGAGCGAGACTAGAATGAGTGAAAATGTGAATGGAAGGCGAGCAAGTACAGACAAAGTTTTGAAAAAAAAGAGGAGAGAAAAAGGGCTGTAGCTGCAAGAGAATACTGAGTCAAAGAGATTTATTTTGTTTTAATATAAAAGAATCCAACACATGTTTGGAATACTAGTACAGAGGAAGATATTGACAACGAAGAGAAAGAAAACCAGCAATAATTGTAGGAGCAATTTTTTTGAAAAGCAAGAGAGTGTCCAGAACATATGTGGGTAGAAGCAATGATCAAGAACCCATATCCATATCTTGTTCCATGTCTCTACTACATATCATCCACAGTATCAGTCCATCCTGAGGCAGGTCCCTCTTGTAGTCCCATGATGTTGGCCAGTAACAACTGTGACTACCCCATGATTTCTCATTGGAGTCCAAGCTGGAGAGAATGCCTTGTTTCTGCAATCACACCCATGACACTAAAGAACAACTTACCCAGAAGGCCCCAGCAAGTTCTCTGTATAGAGTAGTCTCCCCTTATCTATGGTTTTGCTTTCCATGGTTTTGCTCTCTGTGGTTTTAGTTACCCATAGTCAACCACGGTCTGAAAGTATTAAATGGAAAACTCCATAAATAAACAATTCATAAGTTTTAAATTGCATGATGTTCTAAGCAGCAAGCATGATGAGATCTCCCATTGTCCTGCTCCATCTTGCCAGGACCTGAATGAATCATCCCTTTGTCCCACGTCCTGCCCATTAGACACTTAGCAGCTGTCTTGATTATCAGATCACAGTATTTAAGTGCTTGTGTTCAAGTAACTCATATTTTACTTAATCATGGCCCCAAAGCACCAGAGTAGTAGTGATGCTGGCAATTCAGATATGCCAAAGACAAGCCTTAAAGTACCTCCTTTAAGTGAAAAGGTATATATGTATAGGAAAAAACATGGTGTATATAAAATTTGGTACTATCCACAGTTCGGGCTTCCATTGGGAGTCTTGGAACATATCTTTCTGCAGACAATATTTTATTGGCCCATGTTGGGTTGCAATCCCAATCATGAACCATTCCCTTAAAGGGGAACAGTGTTAGCTTTACAGTTATAGGGCCTATCTCTGTAGCTGAGTGCAAGATCAGTGTCTACTGAGGCAGATGCTTCTTTTGTTAGGAAGTAAGAAAAGGGAAATGAAGTGGAGCTTTAGAAAGAGCAGGAAGTCTGAGGTCAGAAGGACCTAGCTTAAAATCTAGACTCTACTACCTGGTATGGTCTTGGCAAAAACACTTAACTTCTTTGAACCTCGGTTTTGCCTTTTCTAAAACACTGGGTGTGGAGATGGCAAGGGTTATATAAGATAATTGCATCTAGTCTCAGCAAGATTCACAGTAACAGGGATAGGCACCCTTTTGTTCTCAAATATGCATTGAACATCCCCTCTTTAGCTCATGCAGATGAATATAATTTTGCTGAATGGCTTTTATGTGTATCTGTGGTTCTAGTCTTAAGTCTGTACAAAGGGCACTCTACTGGGAACATACTTGGGTGACTGCACTAAATGACACAAACACAGAATTACATCTTTCCATTCTACTGGTTTTACACTTCAGACTCCATCTGCCATGTTCCAGAGAGAGAGGGAGAGAGAGTGAGAGAGAGGAACAACCGCTCAGCTGCTATGTGCTTCTAAAACCCAATCATCACTATGAGAAGTTTTTCATCACTTGTGAACATCAAAACCTTGATAAGATATCCTCATGTAACCAGACACTAATATTTATTCTGACAGGGAAAATCCATATTTTATTTTATTTTATTTTATTTGGCAAAAAGAATAGGATTTATTTGCCAGACTGGTAACAGTTCCTGATTTTAAAAAAGAACCAATGTCTCCTATCTTCATCCGTCTGTTGGGATCAGTGCTTCATTTGTCCGAACTGTCTATGCAGTGCCTGGGTCGTTGTCTCTTCCTCCTCCTGGTCACTTGGACTAGAGCCACCAGAGCTTCCTCCATCATTCAGTCTGCTCTGCACTGCCCTCTTCCATGATCAAGTTTTTTACTTATAAATAATGTGAGGTTTACAGAACAGTTACCAAAACAGAACAAAGAATTCCCAGAGACCCTTCACCCGGATTCTATAAATGTTAATATTTTACCATAGTTGTTTATATGATTATAAAGTTCTTTTATTTAGGAACAAAAGGAGCACTTTAGTGTATGTTTTCTAAAAGTAAAGATATTTTCTTTCATAATTCTCTTACAAAAATTGGGGAATTAATATTCATTCAATACTATTAGATAATGTACAGATTCTATTCAAATTTTTTAAATTGCTGAATAATGTTTTGGGTGTTTTTTTTTTTTTTTTTCTTTTAGGAAAAGAAAGTCCTAGATCACGAGTTGCAGTTAATTGGCATGTCTCTTTAATCTTCTTTCATCTTGGGCTTTCATGATCTTGACATTTTTTATAAGTTCAGGCTAGGTTTTTTTCACAGCACATTGAGATTTGTCTGACAATCCTTTAGTTTGGTTCAGGTTATGCATTTCTGGCAGAAATACCACAGAAGTAATGTGCCTTCTTAATGCATCGTATTAGAGGCACATATATCAATTTGTTTTATTACTAGTGGTGTTAACTTTAATTGATTAAAGTAGTGGTGCTTATCAGGTTTCTCCACTGTAAACTTATTATCTTAATCTTTAAAATTTTTTTTTTAATCCTCACCCAAGGATATTTTTCCATTTATCTTCAGACAGAATGGGAGGGAGGGTGGGAGGCAGGGGGAGAGAGAGAGAAAGAGAGAAACATCGATGTGAGAAAGACACATTGATTGGTGGCCTCCCGCAGGACCCCTGCCAGGGCCAGGGACTGAACTGAAACGAAGGTATGTGCCCTTGACTGGAATCGAACCCAAGACTCCTTGGCCCACA